GTATCTGTCCCTGGGTCCCAACATTGGCTGTGGCTTGTGTTCTTAGGTCTCTTTAAAAATAACTTCGTCAAAACTCTGCCCTTGTTGCTTTCATCTTAGGCAAAATCTGGGCACAGGAGTAAGTAATTTCCCCAAATGTGCAGTCCCCCTTCCAGAGCTAGCCCACATTAGCTAGCAGGGGTGAGTAGGTGAGCAGTCCGGAAGAGTTTATTTTTGGAGATAATGATTATAAGCAACTACAAATAAAAACATCTTGGTGAATGCAAGGGGGAAAATCATTAATTTCTGTCTTTTAAAATATTCCCCCCCCCTTTTTAAAAACAGACTGTGTTTCCTAAAAGGCATCGTACCTATTCTTAATTGGGTGAGCAGATAAAAATACATACGTCTGTATTTCTCCGATTCCACTGCGGTATGCTTTTGTCATTTAAGTACTAAAGCAACAATTAAAGACACGGTGAGGACTCCTGGCACCGAAGGCTGTCAGGGAGACCACTCTGTGTGACAAGGGACACATTTTAGTTTCCCAATAAGGAAGCTGAGTGTTCTTGTGTTCAGGTCTGTTGCCTCTGTGACTGCTTTTCTCTTTGCGCCGGGGGAGCTGAGCTCTGGTGGTCACGGTGCTCAGCTCAGGTCTGTCACCTCCTGGTTGGTCATTAATTTTCTTCTTGCCTCCCTCTGCTGGCCCCTGACTCCCTCAGGGACATGCTTCACCAACCCTGGCAGGGTGTCACGGTCAGATCTGCGAGACCTCTGTGAGGGTGTGCTTCCCGAGGTCAAAACCCTGGTCACTCCCATGTAGGACACTTGTGCCAGCCTTATGCCACTGGTACTGTCTGGACCCTTCTGCAGCCCCTTCCTTTGTTGGCTTCCCTCCATCCTCATTCTGGGGATACAGCTGAGTTCCCCGCCCCCTACAGCGCAGAGAGATCCAGTCCCACCTGTGACCATGGGCTGTATGTTAATTCTTGCCCTCCTGGACCCTGCTATGTTTTATTTATTTATGTAAGTGGGGTCTTACATTCTATTTAAACATTTTCCTTCTCTGGAATTCAGAGGGCAGGAGGACCATTGTCAAACATTTTCTCTATCTCAGATGTTAGACGAAAATTGGGGTCTGTTTTCTCCCTTAGATAGAGAAAGGTGTGATGTGAGGTCAGAGACGGTGACTTTGACTGTTTATCCTTTGGTTGGAAGTGGACTTGGACCCTGGAGTGGGAAGGTGAATGATATGAATGTGTTTCTGAAGGAGGAAATGGGATGTGTTGGTTCTCTGGGCCTCTGCTGAGACGCATGACCTCGGACTGGGTGGCTTAGAAAAACAGATTTATCTTCTGGCCGTCCTGGAGGCCGGGAGTCTGAAATCAGGGTGTTGGCAGAGCCATGCTTCTTCTGAGACTCTGGGTAGAATCCTTTTTTGTTTCTTTGTAGCTTCTGATGGTGACCTTTGATCACCTACGCAGCGGTAGCCTTTGCACCACTCCCATATGTGACTCTGAGGTCACATGGCATTTTCCTTAGGTGTCTCTCTCCTAGAAGGACACCATTCGTACTGGGTTAGGACCTACTGTAATGACCTCGTCTTATCTTAACTACATCTGCTAAGACCTTGTTGCAAGTAGGGTCACGTTCACAGATACCAGCAATTAGGTCTTCCACACAGTCCTTTTGGGGTGACAACATTCAATCCATGATATCTGGAGAGAAAAACAGCAAGGGACCCTAAAATAGTCTGATGGTACAAAAAGGGGGAAAAAAAGGATAAGACAGATTCTTTGCCCTCTTTAGAGTTTTGGGTTGGGTAGGAAGATTATGGGAGGTTGTTGGCTGTGTGTCATTCTTTGCAGAAATGCTGCCCTGTGACTATCCCTGTTTCCTTTCTCAATAAGTGAGGGGATCACTGTGTTTCTGTCTGTGACATGGTGGTGAGACTGCGGGGGAGTGAGTCTGATTGCATTAATGAATAGCTTGGAATAAACCCTTTCCAGGTTCTGGGCACAGTTGAATGCAGGAATTGGCCTGGGTGAGTACGGCATCTGATTAAGGGAAATACGTGTTAAAAAGAAAAAAAAAAGCAACCAACAAAAAAACGTAGACATACACGTGGTTGAGCATTTTGTGTGTATATATTTAGAATGTGTGTAGTATCTCTCTCATGCTCCTTCCACCTGGGAATTCTTAACAGGAATTAGGCCCAGTAAAATGTCCAGCTGGCCCTGTCCCTTCCCTGAAGTCCTGTTGGATTTGGTGAGACTGGAAGAGAATGTCATCACTGTGCCAGCCAGCCCAAGATTTGGCCAGGTGTCTTATACGTCAGGACCAGACACCTGCGTTCTACTCTGATTCATGCCCATGTTTTTTTGGTGGGGGTGGGAGCTGTCTGACTCTTGGAGTTTCTCAGCATTGGCTCCTTTTAAGAGACTTCAGCTTGGTCTCTGCCAAACTAATTAACTCGGACAACTTCTTTCAGTGCCGTGAGCAAGACTGACTTTGGTAAGGCGTGTTCTTGGCCCTCACGGAGTTTATATATTCTAGCGGGAGGGATGGCATGTTTATATCTTTTGCACTAATGACTCATTCCTTAGACTGTCTCAGGTCCTGGACCAGGCAGCGGCTCTGTCCTCTGGGAGCCCTGCAGCTGGTCCAGCTGTATCTGCTGTCCCCTGCGGGACAATGAAATCTCCACCCTAGAAGCCAAGTGTTGGGTCAAGGTGGGAGGTGGTGTTGGAGATGCGCCTGGGTAGAAGAGGAGAATGTTTGTGGTTGCAGATATCATTTTGTCACCCTTGGACAGAGGAGATCCAAGCGAATAAGATGTCAGGCTAACGTGGCAAGCATCTGGCTGGGAGAGCCTCCGTAGGTGGGATGGGACTGGGAAGCCTATTACCGAGAAGGGGCAGGCTGGGAACACGGCCACAGCCACATACAGGGGCAGGTCAGGGCCAGCACCAGAAGCTGGGCTCCAGCCAGCGGTGTGGGGGCGGTCTGCACCTCTCTGGCAGGGCTTCTATCCCTCCCGCCAGCTTTGAAGCGGTGCCCTACAGTGCTTCCTGAGGCCACTCTGCCAGCATATGGAAGGAAGAAGCATCAGGGCATCTTCAGACCCAGCTAGAAGCAAGCGTGGCTGCATGGCATGGCATAGCCACAGGGCTGAAGGACGCTGGCTGTCCCAGAACGCTGTGCTCACCGGGACGTGGGCAGCGGAGGTGGTGGAGGTTGTGGCGGGGGAGGGGGAGCTGTAGCATCCGTGCACAGTGGCACCTCTGTGTTCAACCTCTCTTTTGAGTTCTCTTCAAATGAGATTTCTGCAAGATGAGCTAAAATTAGGAAAGGTCCTATCATATTTGACTTCTTCTTCTTCTTTTTTTTTTTTTTCAAACCCTTTAGCTTGGCCTCAGATGTATCAGTTCTGGATAACTTTAAAGCTGGTAACAGGACAAACTGTGTTCACACACAGGAAATGTCTCCAAACAGAAAGTGGGCGTGCAGTTTACAGTTTGAAAATTGGATGGAGGCCATTCAAAATTCCCCTCCTGTTCTCCTGGAGAAGGACTTGACAAAATGCTGAGGGGGGCATTCCTCCTTGGAATAATCATAAGGGACCAGAGGGAAGCCATCTTCTGAGCAGAGCTAACCGGCTACTGGGATGAGGGGGCTGGGGGGCACGTGGGGCATTTCCTGAGCTGCGTGCCCTTCGACGTCATATCCTGTATACAGGGCATGTGGAGTCTGGCCAGAATGCCTCTGGCCCGTTGACCCACACCTGTTGCCCACAGATAGCTGATCCAAATGTGGGCCAAGACAGCTCAGGAGCCCTGGGTGGCCTCATCACTTGGCTCTACTGTTAACTTGAACTTCCAAGTTCATGCTTGTTGCTTTTGTCTTCATATAGAGGGCTTACTGGTTTACTTATTACACAAGAACTACATGTGTTGAAAATCTGGAAAATAGAGATAAACACAGATACAATTAAAAAAGAAGCAGCAGCAGCAGCATCCATAATGCCAGGACCTGGAGATACACTCTCAACATTTTGGAGCCCGTGCTTTCCATCTCTCTGGGTTGACCTGCATTTCTTTGTGACTTTGGGGACAGAGTACAGGTGACCCTTAAACAGTGTGGGGTTTGAGGGCATCAACACGCACCTACCTTCCCCACTATGGAAAACCTGTGTATAACTTCTGACTCCCTCAGAACTTAACCATTCATAGTCTACTCTTGACCGGAAGGAAGCCTTACCAATCATTGAGACCATTGGTTAACATATATTTTGTATGTTATATGTATTATATACTGTATTCTTACAATCAAGTAAGCTAGAGGAAAGAAAAGGTTATTAAGAAAATCATAAGGAAGAGAAAATACATTTACAGTCCTGTACTTTCTTTATGGGGAAAAAAAAATCTGGATATAAGGAGACACGTGCAGTTCACATCTATGTCGTTCAAGAGGCAACTTTAGTAGAGGTTATTGGCTTTGTGAAGTCCATGTCTACTGTGTGTTAATCTGGTGTGGCTTTGGGCCAATGACTTTACCTCTCCATTGTAGCCCTAAGATTGGCATGGTGTTCACACCTATTTCATACTAAATGGGGTAATCCAGAGTGCTTAGCCTGTGCCTCTGCAGTATGTTACTGTTGTTACAAATTATTATTCTTCTGTAATAAAATCAGATCACACTGATTCCTATTCTGTCAGAAACTTACTCTTTCCACTAAACCACTGGGACTATTTTTCTGTAAAATCAGATGTTCATCTTTGGTGTCATGGTTATAAAGGAAAATGACCCTACTCTTTCTGTAAAAACAATACCTATTCATTATGAAGAATTTTGTTTATTACTTTATTTTATTTTTAAAGATTTTATTTATCTATTGAGTACATGAGTGGGGGGAGGGGCAGGGAGAGAGATAATCTCAAGCAGACTCCCTGCTGAGTGCAGAGCCTGATGCAGGGCTCAATCCCAGGACCCTGAGATCTGAGTCGAAATCAAGAGTCAGATTAGCCACCCAGGTGCTCCCACTGTGAAGAATTTTAAAATGAAGAGAAGTCCAGATAAAAATATTTTAAGAATTTTCAAATTTCATTCAGATATAATTGGCTGGTGTTTGAGGGGTGATAGTTAATGACCTTCCTCTGTTTCCCCTCTCCCACCAATTAATAATTGTGTAGACCTATTAACCAGCCACAGGGGTATACAAATATCAGCTTGGAGTTTGTATGGAGAAATTTAGAGTTTGAGTGACAAAACTTAGTTTGTGGCCAGATTTGCGCTCCTCGTTACTTAGCTGCTGGTCAGAATGATAGGCTGTCTGTCTCTGCAGGGGTGCACCTGCTTGGGTAAGCTTACCTCCTGGAGGGGCAAAGAATGTGTGCATCGTGAGGACTGCTTATGGTAGGCGGTGAAGAGGGAGAGGTTGGGGCAATCTTCTAGGCTTCCTTTCACAACTTGACAGATCAGATAAGTTTCTCTAGTCACCTTTGGGGAGGACTGGGTGAGGAAGTCAGAAGAGCAGATGGTTTTTCTTTGTTTCTTCCAGAAAGGAGAGGGTCTTCCTCTACTTTGGATCAAGGTGTGGGTTTCGAGAAGAGGAAAGAGTAACGCGCCCTTAGAATTATCATTAACAATATATCATTTCAGAGTTCTTTCTGTTCTTCCATGGAAAACTGGCGGGCTGGCTAGATATGCTTTGTAAAATCTATGTTCTTGAAATACAAAGTAGAGAATTTAACTTTGCTCAAATTTAACAGAAGACTTAATTAAAACTCAGAAGTCCCTGCCTTCTCTACCCTTGAATGTTGCTGTAGAAGGGTCCAAGGCCATCCTGCTTTGTCTTCCTGTATACATTATGTGCTCATAGGTAAGGAACTCTTTCGTGGTATCTGACATAGAATTTAACAACAACGTATATAACTGCCACATGAAGTGTGTCATATTTTTGTGGCACTCGGTGTTATCTTTCAGTCCACAGATTCAATTCTTTATTAGTCTCAGGAGAATTTTCTTATATCATCTCGTTGACCTTTCTTGGTTCTCTGCCATGAGTTCTCTGCTATAAGGACACCAGTTATTTATATGTTGGATTGTCTTTGAACTCCATACTTGTTTGTTTTTCTTTGATTACTTGGATCTGTTGTTTTTATCGATATTCACTGTTTTTATTTTAGCTTTCCTGTAGTCAGTGAATTGATGCGAAGCCATCTTTCTTTGGTTTGCTGTAGATTTTACTTTATGTTACTTTTCCAATGTTTATTTGGCCACCAATTAATTTCCTTAGGTCTACAATCTCATTCTATTTTTTTTTTTTTGATTAATGTTCCTTTGAGTTCTCACTTTATTGCACTCATATTCATATTAAGTTCTATGGCTCCAAGATCTTTTGAGGGGAATTCTCTTCTTGGGATCTGTTTTCCTTTAGGCCGAATTTTTTTGTCTTTGATACAGTGTTTCATTTGTCCTTTCCTCCATGATTCTGTGTTTGTAGAGACCAGGCCTTTTTGTTTGCTTTTTTTTCACTCTGTTCTTGCCTGAGTATGTCTATGCAAATCTCTCTTGTTCCGTGTGTGGGTGATTTCTTGATCTGAAGCCTCTCTTTTTTGCCCCCTTACTACGGAGTTGAAGAATGATGGCTGGCTTTTTGTTCGTTTGGTGGCCACGCTTTCTGCACCCTGAGGACCTACAGAGCATATGGGGCTGGCCAAGCCATAGCAGGTGGTGTGTAGGGTGCTGACTAGTTGTGGCTAAAAGATGTTGGCTTGATGGTTTTTACTTCTAGGCTGTTTTTAAGGTTATTTTAGGTGGGTCCAGCCTTCCCATGTGGGAGTACACACTGCCTGCCCTTGGGTAGTATTCTCTGGCCTCGGATCAGCCCCGGATTTCCATGTGTACTCCTGGAGCCTTCACTTCCTTCCAGCAGAAGTAATCCGCACCATGGTTCATGGCCTCTTCATCCTTTTCTGCCTAGTGGATGCTTTCACTACTCCCCAGTCAGAAAAAAGGAATATATTGATAACTACTCATGCTTTTCTCCAGATTTGGTGATATTAATGAAAACTTTCCAGATTTTTATTTAGCCACTGGTTCACCATCCTGAGGGGGGTGGATACAGGATTATGAGCTTTGCTATGCCATACCATTCTGTTCTAGAATCTTCTTTTACTTTCCCTAGCAGGCAGTATTTGAATTTTAAGACATTGGGTTGCCTTTTTTTTTTTTGACTGGTGATCTTTAAACTTTTCTGCTTTAAACATTTTTTTTTTTTGGTTAAGTTTTGAAAGAGTGAGATTTTGTGCAGAAGTTTGTACCATTTTAATTGAGAAGTACCTCCTATCACTTTAAATGTTTACATAATATTCTATTGAATCTCATTCCCATATATCTGTTGATAGGTTCTTTTACTGCTTTGTTTTGCCAAAAGAAGTCCAGATTTCCTCATTACTTTTCTGTTTTGCTTTTTTAGAATCGTAGTGTAGGTTGATGAGGTTAAGGGGATGATCATAATTGTGGAGAAAGGAGTGTCATTTTCTGAGGGTCTTACCTTTGCCAAGGGCATGTAAATAGTCTGATTCGATTCTCACAACAACCTTGTGAGTTAAACAGCATTGTTTCTGTTTTCCAGATCAACAGATGGGGGCTCAGAGAAGTTGAATACCTTGCCCAGAGTAACACAAGTAGTGTTTGATCCTGGGTCTCTCCGCTTTACCTTGCTCCAAAATCCCTTTTCTTTTCTCAGACCACATCTCCTTAAGAAATCACAGCTGGGTGGAATGCTTAAGCATGCTTTTTTCGTATCATATAAACATGTTACTACTTATAAGAGAAAACTGTTCTTTTTTTCTTTTTCTTTGTTTCTTTTAAACTGGTAGGGAGTGTTGAATGCGACTTCACTGGGGCCAGAGAACCGTGTTATCTGTCTCCTTTCGCCCTGAGTACAAAATGGCATTTGCAGGAGATGTGAGCTCTGAAAATGAGGCTTTGTACATTCCGTGCCTTGTCACAGGGCCCTTGCTCTGGGCATGTTGTTACCTGTGTGCTCAGTCCTCAACTGCATTTCTCGCTCTGAACAGCCAAACACTCAAAAACAAGGGCCATTATGTAATAATCCTAACAGCCCCCACAAAATTACAGACTACTCCATGCCTGTGTGAACAGACACTCTAATTAATGTTTACTTCTTCACCAAACGGTCATTTTTCAAGACCTTCATACAAAAGCACATGTCCCCTCTTCAAAAAGTATTCTGCAGCACTCACCGAGAACAACATTTTGATATTTACTGAAAGACTCCTGATTGGGAGATCATTTATTTACTCTGGGTCTCTGTTTTATTGTCCAAAGTGAAAATAACAATGCCTGTTCTTCGCATGTGGAATGTTGAACGAGTGTCAAAGTGTTGTCGTGGGTTATGTCATTTCAGCCATACGGCAGCCCAGGGAGAGCAGTGGTGCACTTGTGACCCACTTTTAACATTTAACTCTTTATTATAAGTTCTCAAGCAAGGCAGAAAGATAGAAATTATAGTGCAGTGAGTAGCCATGTACTTACCAGGTAGGACTGAGCAGTTGAACAATTTGTTGACCAACACACACACACGTGCACATACACACACACACACACACACACACACACATACACCTTTTTTAAACCACCTTATAGGAAACTATAGGAAGAAGGACATGTCACACCTAACTATTTCATTATGGCTCCTCATAACATATGATCATTTCCTTATGAAGCCACAGCCCCATTACCACTCCCAACAAGGCAACTGTTCCCTCATTTGAACTAATACCTGCCACATATTCAACTCTCTTCAGGTGTTCCCAAAATATCGCCATTGGTGTTGCTGTTGACATCCATATCTGTCCTTAGCTCAATCTCCAGAACATTCTACTTATTTTTTATGCAGCCAAAACCAGTGAAAAGAGCCTGCATTTCATTTGTTAGAAGACTTTTAGTCTCTCTGTTTCTTCTTCTTGGTTTTTAAAAAAAAAAATTTTTTATTGTGGTAAAAAACACATAACATGGAATTTAACATCTTTAACATTTTAAAAAAGATTTATTTGAGAGAGAGAGAGAGTGGGAGGAAGGGGCAGAGGCAGAGGGAGAGAAAGTCTTAAGCAGGCTTTGTGCCGAGCGCAGAGCCTGATGCAGGGCTCGATCCCACGACCCTGAGATCACGATCTGAGCTGAGACTGAGAGTTGGACGCTTACCCCACTGTGCCACCTAGGCACCCATAGCATCTTTTGAAGTGTACAGTTCACTGACATTAACGACATTTATATTGTGCCACCATCACCCCTGGCCATCTCCAGAACTCTCCATCTTGAAAAACTGAAACTCTGTACCTGCTAAACAGTAACTCCATTCCTTTCTCCCTTCTGGCCTCTGGCAGCCACCCTTCTGCCCCCTGACTCCATGGATTTGACCACTCTGGATGCCCCATGTCCGTGGGATCATACAACGTTTGTTCTCTTGTGTCTTGCTTGTTTCACTGAGCATCATGTCTTCCAAGGGTCATCTGTGTTGTGGCCTGTACCACAATTACCTTCCTTTTCAGGGCCGAGTAATACTCCACGGTATGTAGGTACCACGTTTGGCTTTTTCATTCATCTCTTGATGGATGCTGGGTTGCTTCCCCATTTCAGCTGTGATAAGTCATGCTGCTGTGAATGTGAGTGTCCACCTTTCAGCCTCCTTTTTTTTTTTTAAAGATTTTATTTATTTATTTGTCAGAGAGAGAGAGCGCAAGAGTGAGCACAGGCAGATAGAGTGGCAGGAAGAGGCAGAGGGAGAGGCAAGCTCCCTGCTGATCAAGGAGCCCAATGTGGGACTCGATCCCAGGACTCTGGGATCATCACCTGAGCCGAAGGCAGCCGCTTAACCAACTGAGCCACCCGGGCGTCCCCTTTTCAGCTTATTTTAATCTAGAATAGTTCCTCCCCTTTTTCCTACTGTGTCAGCTTTCTGAAGATGTTAGTCCATGTGAAGATGTTGTCATCTTTGAAGACGTTG